GGGGGTGGGTGGGGTAGGTGGCGGGATGGTAGATGTGACGATGATAGTTGTAAGATAGTGGTCGGGTGGCTGGGGCCTGGGAGTGCGTGGGTATAATGACAACAATAGTGGCATGGTATTTAGTGGTGGGTTGGGGTTGGGGTCGGGTGGCTTGCGAGTGAGTGGCGATTGTGAAAGCGACAATAGTGGTGAGGGGTGGGGTAGTGGGGATGGGTGGCAGTTATGACAATGACAGTGGTAGGATGGTGACTGGAAGTGGATGGGTATAACAGCGACAATAGTGGCATGGTGGTTAGTGGTGGGGTGAAGTAGGGTGGGGTGGGGGTGAGTGGCAGCATAGCGACAATAATGGTGTGGTGGTGGGGGTTAGGTTAGGGGCGTGACAGTAACGGTAGTAGCAGGGATGTGCMGTGAGTGACCGAGGGTGGGTGGGTGTGATGACAACAGTAATGGCATGGTGGTTAGTAGTGGGGTAGGGTGGGTGGCGGTGACAAGTAGTGGTGTGGTGGTGGTAGTGGGGGGTTAGGGGTGGGGCATCACAAACAGTAGTAGCATGGTCGTTGTGGGTGTTGATGGAATTCAATTCCTTCCATTATGCTAAGGAATGATGAATTCCTTAACTTGTGGAATTCATTGGAATTTGAAGGATTCCATCCATTTCAAGATATGAACCAAACAAAGGAATGGAATTTGGTCAAAGGAATTTATCATTCCAATTCCATCAAATTCCTTCGAATTCCGCGAACCAAACGGCCCCTTTGTCTTGCATCATGGGAAACAGAAAGTTGAGATGGGCATATGGTGAAGAAACTACATGAACAAGTCGAGCATCAAATTGAAAAGAATGAACGAGCAATATGCATCCAAAGCCAACAAAGGAAGAAGACGTGTTTTTAACCAAAATATCTAGTGCGAGTGACCAAAGGGCCTTTGAAAATATCCGAATATTTGTCTTCCTAGGAGATCAGGGGTTCAAACCTCACCAAAGTGACGAGATGAATTTAGGGAGAAAGTGTGTCTAGATTCATGAATTAAAGATATCTCTATTCTCCTGTTCTTTACTCCCACCATTTTGGTTATGCTCCTATCATCCAATCACAATCATGTCAAAGTTTTCAAGTTCATAAGGCACAAGGGAGGAAGACCATGGGAATACTAGCAGTCACACACCCATTCCCCGTCCCAACACATTTAGCATGACATTAGACCGGGACTCAATGGGACAAAAATGCATTTTCCCCCCACCAAAATAGGTGGAAAAAACCTCAAAAGAGGTGGACACTAAATTGACAAATTACCAAACTACCCATGTCAAACTAAAACCCTAAAACCCGTTTATCCAGTCATGTCCAGTTCAGTCCGAGTACCAAATCCGAGCGGACGATTACAAAACAAGATTGTACCCATTAATCCCAACGAGAATATGAGCACCACCAAAACTATATATGGAACATGTCATCTTTTATTAATATTGTCATGCTACAATCACTGGTTTTAGAATACCTCATTGAGGAGGATGAGGAGGAGGACCTCTGTAATATGCAGGCACTGTTGCAGGGAAGAACATCTGCCTAACTCCTTCTGCCTTGATGATTGGAAAGATGATTCCAGAGGCACCCTGCCACTCAACAGTGTAACTATGTGATACAGTAGAATGTAAAAACAAAACCTAAATGCTTTATAATATAGTAAGTATAGATATGCTGTAAAAACAAAAGGGAACTAGTTAGAATTGAAAAAATAATGTAATCATGCATACCGAAATCAATCTAGCGCCAATCCACATTCGTTTTGGGGAGGGAAAAGGAAGCAACAAGCGGCCAACACCGTATATTGCCACAGCAAAGAAGTGTATAACCAGACTCAAGGGGCGAGGGTTTAAGCCCGAGAGCAAAGCCACAGGTCCATTTGAGAACACGCCTCCAAGGCTCAGATAGTCGAAGCATGCTTCTCGCATTTCTTGTCTTGCTTTATCAGGTGAAGCACAAAATACCTTATACAATGCTCCCGCCAATGTATTGATTGTAGATGCCACGGGCTACAAGATGACAACCGAGATAATGATTTATGAATATTAGATAACAAGCACATGCATCTTTTTTTGAAGTATATAATATATATATAAATACGGTAAATTAAAATCACACACTCTTCACCTATGGCGAGCCTTGAACCCATGACCGTTGGGCCATTCGCCCTTTGGTAAGCACATGCATCTTTTGAAATAATCAATTTGAAATACCTAGATACAATAAGAGCATCTCCAACATGTTCTCCAAAATAGAGAATTGAGATTTTAGAGCTTTTAACCCATTTTTTACTCCAACAGATCCTCCAAAATGGAGAAAGTAGGAGAGAGATGATAAAAATCTCCAAAATTGGAGAACTCTCCAAAATTAAATGCCGAAGAGAGAAAAAGGTTTTTTTATTGTCCTCAACAATGAAGTTAAAGGTATTATCATTTTATATGAAATTTATTTGAAAACTTGCAGGGATATTAAATCTTTTAATAGTATAATTAATGTTGAAATCTCCAAAATAGAGAAACTATTGGAGTAGATTTTTTAATTTTAACTCTTGTTTCTCCATATTAGAGATTAAATACAGAATTTGTTGGAGATGCTTGAGACCTACCACATGCCGCCCTCTTTATTCTGTCTTAAAATAAGCTATGTAAGAATAGCTATACAGCCTTGCAAAATAGTCAATCAACAAAATATTAAAAATCCAACCCATTCCTAGTTTTCATGTATATGGAACACTAGACAATAAGGGCTAATTTCAATACATACATACATTAGAACGTAAATGCCAAAACAGTCGCTGTGAGATATATATATATACACACACATGTATATGCAACTGACCTTTCGCAGAGTGTAAAAGGACTCGAGATATTTGCAGAGAGTATATGAATCGTGGAGATCACGGAGAGGTCTGAGAAGATCCCGTAGCACAACTATATCAGACAGCGCCACGGTCATTCCTCCACCAGTCAAAGGATGGCGCATGTTGAATGCATCACCCATTAACAAAGCACCTGGAGTTGGCTGAGGAGCAGCTGGCATACTTCTGTTTGGCATTGTCCTTATGTTTCCTTTGTCAATTGCTGCTATGAAAGCATCTTGCAACTCTACAGGGATCTACATAGGGCATTAGATTACTAGTTTAGTGAACAACCAACACATCCAACTAGAGAAAAAACAAAGAATATAGATGTGCTATCATGAACTTTTGTGTCAACTACAGCCGGCCCATTCCACCATACTCCCTTCGTCCCAAATAAATGTCCACAACGAAAAAGGCACACAGTTTAGGAAATCTGTAACTATTACACTTTTTAATTAACTAGATGACAGTTTTACCCTTAATAATAGAGGGAGTAATGAATGTCTTCATATCATAATTGAGGGTAGAATCGGAAAGTAGGCGCTTTTTAAATTTGACACTTATTCTGGAACAAACTAAAATAGAAACATGGACACTTATTTTGAGACAGAGTAATAGGGAAAGAAAAAAAGAAATCTGAAGTTCTATTGATACCTGAGGAGCAACAACGGTCTTTAGATAGTTGGACAAATCACCATTTGAAATGGAGGGCACCTTTTGACCAGGTACATCAACTAGAGAACGAATTTCTGTACTACTGATGCGGTAAAACAGGATAGGTGATGGGTCTGCTAAAACAACATGCCCATGGTTTTCATATGGCAGTTTGCAGTTCTCCAGGACCAAACCAACAAAACAAGAAGGCACATCCACCTGTACAACACAAAATGATAATGTCAATAATTACACAAAAGTCAAAGCTAATGGTTAATCTATAAGCAACCTTGACAAAGTCAACTGAAGTTGTCACAATGCCTTAACCAATAGAGCTGGAAGTTACCTGAGGATTGCAAAGGGAGCGCCTCAGGTTTGAAAAACAGCCATCACATACAATGGTAAGAGGTGCATATGCTTTCATCTCTTTGCCATTTTTGGTCTTGTAAATAGCACCCCTAATGGTACCTCCTTCTTCAAGAAGAGATGACACTGTTCCTTGCTCCAAGCGAACACTACATAATGAAAAGGTGATATAGAACCATTCTGGGAAACGCAATATGCGTATAAGAAGTAAACGAGACAGGGAAAAAAGTACTTGGGAAGCAATGAAGCTTTTTCCCGCATTTTCTGTATGAATCGGCCATTGTGAAAGCTTCTGCCAGCCACGTCTGCATGAAATTTCTCCAAAGGATACGAGAGTCGAGTATTCTTCCCATCCTTGAAAAGAGCATATCCAAACACCCTCTGAGCATCAATATCTTCCACACAATCTGTGGTAAAGAAAGAAAGGAAGGACAAAGTATCATCCCAGAATGTTCAGCAAACATTATACCAGTAAAGGAAATGCAATGGAGAGGTTGATGTAATAGATGGTTACAGCTCTAAAGATTGTTGATATCATACCTTCCAGTCCCAACTCCATCAGTTTGAGATAGCCACCTGGTTGTAGGAGCTCACCAACAATTCGATCAGGCTCTGTCAGGTCTCTTTCAATCACATGTACACGGCGTCCGTCCTACAGTACACAGTGTACGAGATGATAATAACCAGCTTAATAGCACTAGGTGAAATATTAACCACAGGATGCATAGTCGACTTAAGTCATATAATGAAGTAAATATACGTTAAAACCATCTTAACAATGTGCTAAGGTGTCTAAGTAGTAACATTGAGGGATTAGCTCATAGGCAATAAGGCTTGGGCCTTTGGGGCTCATCCCAAAAGCTCAACAGTTCGAGTCACCTCAAGGCCACCGAGGATTTTCCTAGCTGTTCTTCAGGGCCTCATGGGATTAACTGCGCTCCTCACAAACTGGCCTGGACATCCATGGTTAACAAAACAAAAATATAGTGTCTAACTAGTGGTTTCCCCTAAAAGAATCATCCGACCTTTATATCTCTTTAGGTGCTCCTAATGAAGCTGATCCTGGAATTCATATTGATGCTACATGTTTCTTTCTTATTAACCTTTTCAGCTATGGTATTGAATCCTAATGACGATCAACTTTTCGCCATAGTTTGTTGTCATGTAAAATGCAAGACAAATTATCACACTTGGTGATTTTTTCGTTCTCTCCATCTTAAATCTAAGCCCCTAAAAAAGAACTCTTCCAACAAAATTCGTGAGGTAACAAAATTAACTTACTTTTATATGGAAGAATAAGTCACAGGTATATGTTTTCATTCACGTGCTTATGCTAATTATATATACCCCATTACTTAAGATGTTCATTCGGTCCACGACTCGGATTCAATTCGCAATGCAAAATTATCGTGGGAAAAACACAAACAATTGTTTCTAATTTTGTGATTGCAACGTTAACTGGACTGATTATGAAACGAGCCTAACAGTTTATTCAGCTTGTTTCCTAGTAGAAAATGTTGTTCAGCAAATTCAAATTTCAAAACATTTTTCTGTAATTTTCCATTCATAATTGCAGCCTCCAAGAGAATCTGGTATAGACGTTGACAACAGTTGAAGAAAAGTTAAATTAAAGTGATATATACCTTGGCGAGAGTATATGCGAGAGCAGCACCGGCAACCCCGGCGCCGACGATAATGACGTCGGTTTCATCTCCGGATCTGCATTCTCCGTTGATAGAGGTTGATTTCGTTGTGACCGATGCCGATTTGTGGTTAGTACCTCCGGCAGCAAGAGGACGTCCAATTCTAATGGAAAAACATATGTAGAAGAATATAAATCCGACAAGGGAAGCGAAAAGCGAAGCAAGCATTAAGTAATCCGCCATTTTTAACAACAATGCCACCGTCGCAGACTGCCACCGTCTCCCTCTCTCTCTCTATCTCACTCTCTCTCTCTCTTGTTTTGCTTTTAAGCTTGGCTGGATTTTGGTGGAAAGAAGCGATAATAAGATGCACTTTCATATGCTGAAATTTGAAAATAGAAGGCCAGCCCCACCACTCTTTTATTCGGTCTCCAATAAGACAGCGACGTGGTCTGTCTTTTTGAAATGTCCCATGAGGTTTATGTAAGGGTTGGATGTTGGTATTTATTTGTAGCTTAATTAGGTTGGTTTATTGTTCTATATGATTTATTTAGACAGCTTATTTGAGTTGTTTATTTAGGGCTTATTTGCACAAAACCTGGCTTAATCATACAGATAGAAATGGTATGTTGTCCTCATTCAGCCACATAAATGACACTCGTACCCCTTATTTAAAGCATCGCCTCCTTCTTAAATGAGACACCCCGTCGTCAACATCTTTATGATTGTTTGTTTTGATGTTCAAATAATTAATATTGGGGGTAAATCGGTCATTTATATTATTCAGACTGTTAGTTCAAATAAAAAAATAAACAACACTCATTTATCTAGACAAACAAATTTATCTGGACAGACAAATTTATCCATACGGGACTTAATAAAAAAATTTGTTAAACAGCCCCTTAATGTGAGATTTTAAACAGGGCCTCCAAATTTACATGTGATCAGGGTCTTTTATCTACCTGTGTAAAACTATAGCCAAAATTATTTATGTTCAAACCATTAATTGTTTAGTTTTCGGTTCAAATCATTAATGGTTTAGGTTTAGTTTCAGATTGTTAACCGTTTTAGGTTTAGCTCATTTTTGTTCTTAGCATATATTCTCTTTTATCTCATTTATGCAATGTAATCAAAAAATTTGAATGTAGCAAGGCCTCCAAAAAGATTAGAATGTCCCTGAAGGGGTGGCTCACGATATGGTGTTGTATGTTTATTTTAAAAATGATATTTTTTTTATTTTTTGTGTTTTTACAATTTTAACTTTAGATTTTACATTTTTATAGATATATCTAATCACATCACTTACAGTTTCAGGAATTCATAAATGTTATAGACTCGCGATTAAAACAAAGTTGTAAAATTATTTTTATAAGTTCCTTTTAAATATTTAATCAAAAACTATTTTTTTGTAAGGGTGTCCGGGCCAAAGCCCGACTAATCCCCGGCAATTTTGGAGGCTAAACATGGCCCCACTTAAATGTCACCAACACTCCCCTCTCAGGGATCGAACTCGGGTTCATGACTATGTCATGCCCAACCCTTACCACTAGATAATGATAATCTATATAAATTTTCTTCTTATAATATAAATGTATATTTTTTTAATATCATTGTCTGATTAGATGATATATCTATACTATGTTATAAAGCATTTGACAAAAACTCTTAAAAATCATTTTTTATATAGTAAGTACTGTTTATTAATGCATGTTACTTAAAACTCAAGATTACATGTAGATTATGCGTAAGTACAACTTATTAAAGCTGCACATCTGAATTCGTGTAACTAGCTGCAGATAAACATAATCAAATACAGGATAAACATCTTATTTTAAATATAAAAATCTAAAATAAAATTAGGATAATTATTGAAATCTAAAAGAATACTTAATTATTATATTATGTTATATTATTAAACCAAAAATAAATTATTTCATTATTAAACTTAAATTAAATTATAATAAAAAATAAAAAACTACATGAAAAATGAGAACTTTTAAATAGTTGATTTGATATTAACATTGATATATTTTTTTTCAAATTTTTATATTTATTCAATTATTGCTTTCTTAAAAACACATAAAATCGTATTATAACGTCGACAGAGACAAAWAATAAAATAGAATATTAAAATTGAGATATATCTCGCTGCATTGCACGAGTACCTTTCTAATATAAAAAAAACATATATGTAAATATATAATTCTAAGTTCTAACTTTGACATATAAATTTGCCGCTTTATGTCATGTCTTGAAAAATGTCATGTCTTTGTCGTGGCGTGGAAGGCTTGATGTTTGACCACACTGCCACGGCTCATGCTATTTTGAATCTTGCTTTTGTTAGAGTTAATTACAAATTTGATCCATGTTGCTAGACAAAAGGAAAATAAAGGTTAGTGTGTGTTGGTCTCAGCTGGATCTACAAGAGTTTATAGGTAACAATTTGTAGAATGGGGGATTAATACAAACACAGAAACTTTTACTTTTAAAAATTATATATTGATAAAGAATGATCAATACAAATTTTACAGATTGTTTGTAGAAAATGTAAGGTAAAGAAACCTATCTAAATAATCTAGAGATACACACAATTACACTTAGTAAAGAGAAAAGATTTATTGTAAGAGATAAAGACTTGCAAATGTGTTCTTTACTTGTTCAAAGTGGTTCTTTCTCTTTAGAGAGAGAGATTGGTGAGAGAAGTAACTTTTTGGATAAGCTTCTTAGAGAGAAAGAAGTTTTTTGATTTATGATAACTGAGTAGAGAACACTCAGCTATTTATACTCATTGCATTGAATGCAATTCAGAAGGTACAGAATACGTGTCAAGCTTTTAGAGGAAATCTTGTCTTTTGCTACAATGAATAGTCCTTTTGTTTATTCATGAGCATACATCTTTTCATAGAGTTAGTAAGCACTATTGAGTCAACTGAGTGGCTCCGTACAATACTATACTCTAGAAAAAGTATGGGCTTGTCCTTAGTGTGTGGAAGGACAAGACAAACAAACGTGCATGATAAGCTTCATTTGATCGTTGAATGTTGGGATGTCACTGGAGGTCTCTTCAGCATTTGTTGAAACTTGTGCAGTCTTCACACATATGTTGACTAGTTTGTAATCACTGAATGCCGCTTCAAATCACGAACGCGCTAGTCTCTAATCTTCAGTTTCTGTCTTCGACATTGCTGAAGGTTCTTTGGTGTGAGTTTTGTCTTCTTGAAGTATAACAGTTACTGGAGAGTTACAATACATGTTCAGCGATCACTGAACATACTCAGTGATGATTGTTGAAACTGAGTAAATAGAAACACTATACTTCGATAGGTGAAAAGGATTATCATCAAATCAATGTGAGAGAATCAACAGTGTGTGGCATGATAACATGAAGTCTAGAATGTGTCTTATTTTAATTATGAAAAACTATAGAACAACAAGGAGATAATAGTTCTCAATGCACTCAATCATTCTCATACATGATCCATGCAAATTCTATATTTTTTTCAAAAGAAATCGAGTCTTTTTGGTGTCGTTGCTTGCGGACAAGCAACAATTTAAAAAGGTGTGGTGTGGCGTGGCGTGGCGGCAAGGTCCAGCCTCAAGCCTTACACACCATGGCGAGGACACAACGTTTTTCAAGACGTGACATAAGACGACAAATTTGTATGTTATATATAAAATTATATATATATATATATATATAGATAGATATAGATATATTTTCTATATATTATCTAATCAAATAATGATATTAAAAAAATATACATTCATATTAGAAGAAGAAAAATCATATAGATTGTTATTATAAAAAATAGGTTTTTTGATTAAATATTTAAAATAGAACTTAGAAAGGTAATTTTACACCTTCATTTTATTTGTGAGTCTGTAACGTTTATAAATTTGTGAATCTGTGAGTGATGTGCTTAGTTATATCTATAAAAATGTAAAATTTAAAGTTGAAAGTGTAAAAACACAAAAGACAAAAAATTAAAAAAAAATACATTGTATTGGAAAAAAAAATCATGCCTTACAAAAAAACATGTGTCGTGTGCGCGCCATAAGACGTCATGGCGTGAGTCATGCATTACAAAAACGCTATAGGTCATTTCATAACGGCAGAGACACGTTTTGCACCATGTCGTGCCATGACGCACGCCTTTTTGAACACTGGTTGGGATACAAGATGAGCTTCCAAAAGGTAAACTTTCGGAAGTGCTCACCAACGTAAGAGATATATCAAGAACGTCTTTGATACCTCATCCTTGATATTAACATATTAAAATATATACAAAAATAAAACTAATAAATTATGTTTGAAATTTTTAAATAATTTTATAATATATTAATATATATATATATATATATATAATTTATAATCTATAAATAAAGTCATATTTCTTAATTAAAAAATGAAAAATAGGGTTTTATAAGAACATCTATTGTATAATTTTATTGAGTTTCTTATTTTGTTGATGTGACAATAATACAGTAAAAAAATATGGAAATTAAGGTTTCTATAATAAAAATAACAATTATTTATTAAATGGTGTCTGAATCTGTATAATTGTCTATTTTACCCTTCAAAATATTATAATGTCGAATTTATGTATATTTATACAACTAGTTGTGTACCTGTATAATGCGGGATGCCAATTTTTTTTTTCTGAAATCAAAGCTATAAAATTAATTCAGTTTCAAGAATTTAAAATTCATGTTTGAACAAAATAAACTTACAATATTTTCTCTCTGAATTAAAGAATAACTATGCATCTAAGAACAATCCAATTCTTTACGTTCAAAAGGCAAGATATAAGCAACTATAATATACTAAAGATTATAAAAATTAACATTTTTGATTCGTCGGCTATCGCAAGCTTCTCAAACAATGAAGCACCAAACTTATTGCATAAATGCTGGAAAGCGAATTCTGATCTTCGCCTACAAATAAATCACACCACAACAAAATCGGATTTATAGGACACTCCCAAATTCTAAGCGTTCTAATAGACCTTTTTATAGGACTTAGTTTATAGGATCAAAAAAATAAAGTGTCATATCTAGTGGTGTTGTATTAAGTTTATATGACATTTTTTGATGTTGTAATAAGTTTTTTATAACACTTTTAATATAAAGCGTCTCATTATCAACTTTATAGGATACTATTTGAAAAAATGTTCTATAAAAAATTGAGTTTATAGAACAATTTCTCAAAAGTGTCCTATAGAGTTGCTAATGCGACACTTTGTATTAAAAATGTCCTTAAAAACTTGTTAAGACGCCCAATAGCGTCATATAAACTTATTACAACGCCTTTAGATAGGCAC